ATGGCCGAGAGGCGGTTCTAGCTAGGGCAGCGAGAAAAACGCTCCTCCACGTGGCGGTTCATGCAACCGTGCGATTGGGAGGCGATCCGACGGCTAACCGCGTGCTAGTGGAGCGATCCGCGTCTCGGCCTTGTAATTGTTCCCCGAGGGCGCGGTTTAGACTTCGGGAAGAGGAAACCGTGCGCGGGGGCGCGGTTTCTGGTCGGGTAAAAATACCAAACCGCCGCTCCCCCCACCAGGCGGTCCTTACCCTATAAATACCCCCCTTCTCTCATTTTCTTCACACCAAAACCAATCTCCTCTCTCTCTCTCTCTCTCTCTCTAAGTTTATCACTCTACCCATCCCCCTCTCCACCTAAAAACTTTGGAAATAGTGGTTTGTTGGTGGCGGCTAAGATCTTCCCTCAAAAAAAATTTCTTTGGTTTTTCAATAAAAAATCGTCGAATCTCTGTCCGGTTCCTGAATAAATGGCCGATTTTATCGAAAAAGAGGGTATTGACTATGTTCACTATCAAGCTATACATACTCATTTTGCCTAATTTTTGTTGTTGTTGTTGTAATGATTTTATTTAATCTATATACTAATTGATTTATGTTTTGTTATGCTATCATAGATTGGGGAGGATGTTGATATCTACAACCAAAGATATTATGTTGATCAAGGACCGATTGATCCGACTGTGTTATACGACCAAGATAATCATCGCTCAAGAGATGTTTGGAATGACCGCAAAGTACATATTATTTATCATCACTTGCAATTTTTATTTTGTTAACGTAATTTATTGGTTTGTAAAATAAATTTGTTAATTGTTAATCGTATTGATTATTTTCAATAATTTAAATCAATACAATGTGTCACTTAATTAGACTTTTTATAAAGAAATGCATGCCTAAGGAAATGGGGTCTTAAGCGATCATCATGATCCTCCCATTTCCTGGGAAAATTGGGTTCTAAGCGATCCTCGGAATCCCCCCTTTTTCTGTCAAACAGGCTGTGTTTCTAAGGAGATGTATACCTCTCCTAAGAGTTTTACGAGTGTACTTGTATTGCTTTAGATTATCGAAAACAATCAAAATGAAGTACAAAATAATATATTTGATTTTATGTGTATGTTTTTGAAAATGGTATTCATTTTATTTAGGGGTCGTTTGGATGGATTATTTGGACGAGTTATTTCGGCCCAAATAACTCATAATGAGTTATTTGGGCCGAAATAACCCGTTTGGCTTCCATTCTCTCCAACGCGTTATTTTATTCCTAGTTATTTTAGAATAACGCAAAATCGAGTTATTACAAATAACTGATAGGTAGGTGGTATTTCAGAATAACACATTCCCTTCTCTTTTCTGCCCATTTTTGCCCCTCTCCTCTCTCCTATCTCCTGTTTTCTTCCTTCTTCCTTTTTTGTTCAATCCTTTGGATTCTTCCGTCCAGATCCAAATCGACTGAACCAAAAATCGATTTTGCTGGTACTTTTGGATTTCTTTTTGTTTTCCGATCAGAATGAGTAGGCGGAACCCTACGTTGCGATGAACAAGCGACAGCGAACAGAAGTCTTCTTCAGCGACTATGAGGCGGCGTTGAGTGTGCGAAGGCGAGGACAGCAGAGGGTTCGAAGGCGCCTGCAACAGGGGGTTTGTTGGTGACGGCGACAGGATTGAAGATCCGACGAATCGAGCTCCGCCGCCGTAGTCATCGAGGAAGAAGGAATAGTGGAAGGCGGCGAGAAACGGGCTTCTTTTGTGCAATCCGAGTTGATTTTGCTAATTGTGTCTCGAATTTAACATTTCAATTAAGTTGGCGATGGGTGTCAATTAGGTTAGTAATGATAATTTTGGGGTTCTAATGATGATTTTGGGGGTTCTTCTGGGAATGCAGAGTTCGTTTGGAGATGTCTGTGGGAGGAGGGGTAAACAGAAGAGTTCTAACAAGATGGGAAGGAAGCAAAAGGTGAGGGTTGATTGGTCTTTTGCCTTTTAATTGTAAAATAACTCAGGTAAAATAACTCACCATCCAAACATAACATTTAAAACCAATTACTACATCAATACCACACAAATTCCACATTCCTATAAAATGAGTTATTTCAATTTACAAATACCACATAACCAAAAAACTCATCCAAACGACCCCTTAATTATTTTAGTACGCTTAATATGTTTGTTTTTTAAATTATGTATATTTCTTGGGGAAAAACCTTGATTTCATTAATTGATATTGTTTGTTATAATAGATTGATATATGTATAAATCATAAACTTATAGTGAAAGTTAAATTATTCGCTAGGATGCATACCATATAGTCCGCTACAGGGGTACGGCGTATGTGCTCGCATGGAACAACGTCATCTTGCCCTTTCTAAAAAGGGCAAGATTGGATCCCATTAGGCAATTTAATTGGATAAAGATCGACCGCCAACTCATCACCGCATTGGTGGAGAGATGGCGAAAGGAGACACATTACTTCAACTTTCGTGAATGTGAGTGCACCATCACACTTAAGGACATCGCCATCCTAACTGATTTGCCCATCGATGGCGATGTTATTTGTGTGGACTCTACTCCACCAGCTAAAGTTGTTGCGAATATGAGCGGTTTGCAGCATTTCATATGGAGCGCCACAGGGTTGGTACCGCCAGAAAAAGGAGACCACGATGTGGAGGGTCATCCACCATTGTCCAAGGGTCAAGTATCCATCACTTGGTTGACAGCGGAGATCAAGCGTAAGCACAACCCTAAGTTCGAAGGGCTTCCCCTCACAGAGGAAAGTTCGGAGCATGATAAAGAAATTTATGCACATGTCTACATCCTCGGCATGATCGGGGGAGTTTTCTTCCCAAAAAAATCCAACAATTTGTTGGCCCTTTGTAAAGCCAGTGAGTGGACCCCATACTGGCACATCTGGAGACTCAATGTCGGCATCAACATATCAATCTTCATTTAGAATGTGATTGTAGTAGGGGACAGGTACACGGTCGCGAGGCACCTCATCACTGTCTATGTCTGAATTTGGGCCAGAATCATCAGCACCTTCAAGAGGATCGAAGCTGTCTGCACTGACATCGCATTCCTCTTCTTCATCCTCAGAGTAACTAACTGGATTTGGATGGACATCTTCCATCTGATCAAGATCATGAAAGGCACCTTCATCAGCTCCGTAATGGTAGTTGTGGTAACTACCGCCACCTTGGTAGAATTTGTACTCGGGTTGGTACTGGTAGCCTTCTTGTTGGTTCCCATGATACTATTTAGCTTCTTCTTCATATTATGGGAAGGATTGATGATGACCTCCAGTTCCATCATGATACTCCTTATATGAATGAGGGTCTTGGTACTCCTAGTGGGGATGATCTTCGTATAATCCACCCCCACCGTGGATACCAGATGTTTGGTCATCTCCAGAATGACCTACATCGCTTTCGATCGCCTCGGTGTAAACGAACATCCCCATTTGTTTAATGTTTTGGTGGTCAAAAAGTCGACCATGGCATCAATGTCCTCCTGAGTGGTAATGAGGAATTCTAACTCTTCTCGTGTCATCCATGTAGGTAACCTCAGTAGACATTTTATGGAGCTCTTCAAGCATCGGTCTCGTAGCGACCTTCATTTTATAAAAATTGTCACTGACGTAACGTATCCCCTTTCCGTTCTCTTCCGTGTAACCATTCCACCGTAACCCAAGCGTGAACTTTTGGAATGTCATATGCAATAAAACCTTAATTAAGTTATTGTCATAAAAATCACAAAGAAAAGTAATACAAAACAAATTTATGAATTAACGTTAATCGCAAAAACTAAAAAAATGAAAGGTGCACAACTGAAATTTGAAGAAGAAGAAGAAGAAGAAGAAGAAGAAGAAGAAGAAGAAGAAGAGGAGGAGGAGGAGGAGGAGGAGGAGGAGGAGGATGAGGAGGAAGAAGAAATTTGAAGAAGAAGAATTTTTCGGGGCTCTCTTTTATAGGCAAAATTTACCTTGAAAAGTGCAGAGGGAGCGATTTTAGTCTGGCATGCAGCCCCCACCCCTGCAACCTCGTGCATGCCGACATCTGACATGTCGGGGGAATGGGGACGTGGCACAAACCTCTGGGGAGGAGAGGGGGGTGCGGTTTGTGCATCGACCTAATAAACCGATTGTTTGAGGGGCGATTTCTGTTGCCTACGCAGAACTGCACCCCGAGCACGCGGTTTGTGCTGGGGCAGCCATGGAAACCGCTTCTTACAAGAGCGTTTTTCCCAAATAAAACAAACCGCAACTCCAACATGCGGTTCAATTAGAAACCACCCCTCTGCAGCGCGTTTTTCCCTATAACCACCCCTTCGTGGTTGGATTTTAATTAAGGGTAGTAGATTTAAAAAATTTCCGGTTTGGGTGACTGCTTTGTATTTTTTTTTTTTTTTAATAGTGCTATGGATTTTTTTTTCCACAATGCAGTGCAGCAGCAGGGCTAGCTTGCACAGTTGCACTGACCGAGGAAAAAATAAACAAATAAATTGGCGAGCATTCTGATTTCTGAGCAGTGGCCCAGGAGGCGATGGGACAATGGTATGGTACGTAAATGGTATCTCTTCTCGTCTTCTTCCATTGATATCATTGACCGGTCCCCGTAAGCCTCTTTGACCAGCCTGCCCCACTCCCTGCTGCCGAAACGACTCACTGCCCCAGCGACAGATCTGAACCAAACCAACCTCCGCTTAACATAATGATCCCATCAGAAATGCAGCGACCAAACCGGCAATTCATTTCACTTCTACTAGACAATAAACAAACTACAACAATCCAACTCTTAAGTGTACGTAAATCTCCATTGACTAATATACAACAGACGAACCCTATCAATTAGGTTTACGTTGATTAACCAACCATGCATATTAATCAACAGAGCCAAAATTATGTACACACGTGATTGAATATGATGATGATAACAAATGGATCTCAAATGACGATCAGATGACACTAATTAACTACTTCCAATGAGGAGCCGGTTGGGTCACTTGATCAGTTGGGTGGTTGAGAAGATGAAGACGGGTCCTGGTTCGGGTTCGGCTTCTGGTTATGGGGTTTATTACTAGTGTTGCCGGTGCTGTTATTGTTCATGTGGAGAGGGGAAGGGGAGGAAGAAGAAGAAGAAGCGAGAGCGAGAATGGAGTGAGCAAGCTTATTAACGGCGCCCACCAAACCGTTAATCCCGTGGCGGGTGATCTCCGTGTTGGACTCTTCTATCTCCAGCCTCCGCACCTGCAAGCTCACCATCTCCCTGTGCCGCCGCTCCTGTCCTTCTTGACACGCCTGAATCGCCTCCGCTATCCTCGATATCTCCCTGCCCGCAACTACAACTCGATCGCCCTCATCCGCCGATGACGTGGACGGGCTGGAGGGTGCAGTCGTTCCCACGCCGCCGCGGCTTGTTCCGTCTTCACCGCCGCCGCCGCCGGATAATGATGCCGTCCTCATCCGCTTGTTCGGCGCCGGTGGTGGTGAGCCCGAGGAGTCTTCTTCTTCGCTCGTACCGTCAGACGTCTCCAATCCCATCAATTTGGGGAAGAAAACAAACAACATCAAAAAATCAATTAACCCTAGAATTAAAAAAAAAAAATTGAAATCCGAATCGCAAACATTGTTCTCATTGTATGTATGATTTCTAGATCTGGAAAGATAATGGATTAGTGAAACGATACCTACTGTGGGTGATGGTTGATGAGGAGGGTGGGTTGGAGGCGGCGGAGGAAGAGAATGAGGCGGCAGAGGAAGCGCCGTCAATGGATGTGGCGGCGGCGGCGGTACTGCTGGTTGAGCCCGGGGCAAGACTGATATTGGATGTTGGCGTGGCGGCGCCGTTAAAAGAGGGGGCGGCAGTGCAATCGCCGGAGGAGGCTGCTGCTGTTGTTGGTGTTGAGGATGATGATGAAGAAGAACGCTCGTTGACTCGTCAATCATCGGCTTGGCGGAGGATGGAGAGACGGAAGGGGTTCTAGGCGTGTTCCCGCCGGAAGTAGGATGAGAACCTCCTCCGCCGCCGCCGCCGCCTCTGCTCTCGACGACGTCGACGAGGGCGTCGTAAATCTGGGGAAGCATGTTGCTGGGAAGGTTCCTCTCCTTGCGCTCGTTCTTGTCCAGCTTCCAGTAACTGGAAGCGGAAGAGGTGGTCGACGCCGCAGCTGCTGCTTCTTCGGCGGCGGAGGGAGGGAGTGGTGGTGGTAGTCGGCGGTGGTAGTCGCGGACTTTCTTGTAGTCGCGCATGAGGTTGTCCCACTTGTCGTTGCACTGGTTTTGGCTGCGGAAGCAACCTTTCCTCCAGCAGTAATCCTCCACCCACTTCCACCGCAGCTCCGCCGGCTTGCTGCCGCCGCCGCTTCTCTTGGTCCTTCTCTCCTCGTCCATTCTTTTGGCTTCAATCAGCACCATGGTCTCGGTCACCGTCCAGTTCCCTTTCCTGTAATCTCTTATCATCACCGATCCCCCACCTCCACCACCTTGATCGGCCATCATTTCCCCAGCCGGGCCTAGATTAAATGCATGCAACTACTGTTCTTCTATAAGATACAGAGAAACTGGAAAGGCGAAAGATCAGAAAACAAATGAGGTCCAAGTCAAGGATGGATACATGTGGGGAGAGAGAGAGAGATAACGAAGAAGGTGTTTGGGCAATGGGTCCATCCAATTGGATGGCCGGCTTTATGGCAATGTGTGTTTCTTTTCTGCTCAGACTGTGCTTTTGGGGGCTGGATTTGATGTTGCACTGCCAATGAGTGTGGTGTTCAAACCCCAGTCAAATCTCCCTCCTTAACTTAACAAACCAAAAATGGAAATTCATATTCTTTCTTTGTCACAAATCATCTAATTCACTTCATTTTTCATTTATTCACGTCATATTTGTACTATTCATGTCATATTTAGATGCGATATCTAAGGTAAATCGCATCCCCAAGATGCGATCCAAGTTTGGTCGCCAGCGACCTTCTGGATCGCACGATTAAGATGCGATCTGACGGGCTGCAGCATAGCCACGTCAGCAATCCGCGCGACTGAGTGTGGATCGCACTGGTGAGGTGCGATTTCTCGCCTGGAAAAGTGGAGCGTCATGATTCTGCGCGTTCAACGCATCGGGACGCGGGGATCGCATCAGGGGAATGCGATTTGGCGTGGAGATCGCACCAGGGAGATGCGATTTCTACGGGGTAAAATTACCCTATCGCCCCTCGGCGGTGCGATCTGTTGGGTATAAATACCCCCCCTCCCCCTCTCATTTCTTCACTCCACACAACCCATTCTCCTTCTCTCTCTAGATATAATCTCTCTAAACCCTCCCCTCCCAAAAGCCTAGGAAATAAAAGTCTGTTGGTTGCGGCTAAGTCCGATCTGCCATCAGAAAATATTTCTTAGGTTTTTTCCTCAAAAACCCGCCGAGCCGAGCCGAAGCTCTGTCCGAATTACGCCGAAAAAATGGCCGATTGGTGGCAAGGAGAAGGAGTTTTCGTCGATGAATTTCAAGCGGTATGTACTCATCATTCTGGTTTAATTTTTATTGTTGTTATAAGTTTTTTAATTAATCTATGTACTAACCTAGTTATTTTATCGTAGGTTGGGGAGGGCGTCGATATATACAACCAAAGGTATTATCTCGAGCAAGGACCGGTGGATCCAACCGACTTGTACGACCAAGCCAATCATCGGTCAAGGGATGTTTGGAACGATCACCCGGTACATACAATTCTTCACCATTTGTCCTTCTTTTATTTTGTTAATGTGCCTAGTGTAATATAAAATAAATTTATGTTTATTTTTTAATCGTGTTGGTAGTTTTCAATAATTTAATCGAATACATAGCGCCACTTACTTCGACTCTTTATAAAGAGATGCACGTCTAAGGAAATGGGGTTTTAAGCGATTATCATATCCTCCCATTACCTGGGAAAATCGGGTATTAAGAGATCCTCGGATCCCCCCTTTTTCTGTCAAAAAGACTGCGTTTCTAAGAAGATGTATACCTCTTCTAAGAGTCTAACGAGTGTTGCTTTGTATTCGATTAAATTATTTAAAACCACCAACACGATTAAATTATTTACCAAACATTTGAATATGTATGTTTCTACTTAAAACCACCAACACACTAAATAAATATAGATATACAACAGAAAAATGAAAGAGAATGTGAGGGAGAATGAGAGGTGTGAAGAGTCTGTTTTCCGGCAAGTCTTTATATAGGGGAAAAAATTGTGAAAACCGCACCTCTAGGGTGCGGTTTTAGTCTGCCATGCAACCTACGTCGATAATTCTCTGCATGTCTGTGATGGGTGTCGGGAAATAATTGACACGTAAACCGCACCTGGGGGGTGCGATCTACGTGGTGAAACCGCACCTTGCAGATGCGATTCATGTTTGGAGAAGTAAATCGCATGGCCGAGGTGCGATTTAGGTAGGTCAGGCCTAAATCGCACCTCGGCCATGCGTTTCATGTAGGCCAGACATGAAATCGCACGGGCAAGGTGCGATTTAGGCCCACCAAATCAGATCGCACTCTCAAGGTGCGATTTACGTGTAAAACGCACCTTGGGGATGCGGTTTATGTGTAAATCGCACCTGGAGGGTGCGGTCAATATAAAAGGGTGCTAGTTTTGTAAATATTTTTGGCAGGGTGCTATTTTTGTAATTTTTTTTTAAAGGGTGCTATTATTGGAAAAATCTCTCGATTTAGTAGGAATCTCTCTAGAGTTGGGATTTGGTTAAACGATTGAGTAAAAAGGCTGATACGAATTGGTAACATATGAAATTCTCAATGACATTAGGGCTTTTATTGTGTTTGGCATACAAAATAATAACTAAATGAGGACTTTGTAATTACCAAATTTTGGTAATTGGGTAAAAAGGGGGTGCCCTTAAACACAAAAGAGGTATTTTAAAATACTCTCCCAAGGGTCTGATTTGAATTCTTTTTGCTGTTTTGAATTTATTGTTATCTATTAATTGAGTAAAAAGGGTTTATGATCATTTAAAGACAGCTTTTCCCACCAAAGTAACTAAGTTTTGACAATCATGTTTGTGACTTGCGAACATATTAGCTTGAATAGTTAGGGCTCTAGATCGAGTAACAACTCAAAGTTTACTTGGAAGCACTAAGATAAGATCCGACAGCAAGTATGCACTAAAGAGCATGTTAATTTGAAAGACAAGGTCAATAGAAATCTCTATATACTTTGAATTTGTATATAAGATGTGATGCATATATTACTAAAACATTATTTCCATTAAATCAAGCATAATAATCTATGTATGATGGCTATGCTTTTGGTGATTGGGGTAAGGGATACCAACCTGGTTTGCTGTGTCGTTTGATAGCGGTGGTTATTGCTCCTTGGCTCTTGCTGTTTGTCATCACCTTAGTGCTCTTCCCCCAACTTTCTTGCTAACTTTGCTCCTTGGACCCTTGAGAACTAGTCCTCCCTTCCCTCTCTCTTTTTGTTATTTTTTAGCCGATCTCCCCCTTCCAAACAGTGGGTAAGCTTTCCTTATATAACTGACGTGCACTATCCTTTCCTTTTGTGCTGGCCGTATATAGTTTTGCTTTCAGAGGATCTGGTCGTCCTCTTCTTTTTTGTGGGCGTGGGAAATTTCGGCTACCCTTTGGGATTGCGAAATGGACGATGGAGTTGGTTGATTGGGTTGACCAGAGTTGACTGGGTCGATCAGAATTGACTGGGTTGACCAGTGTTGACTTTGGTTGATTGGGTTGGTTGGCCCGATCGGACTGGGCCGAAAATCATGGGTCTGAATTGGGTTTTAAATGTGGGCTGCTGGTTTGGGCCCTATCCTTTTTTTTTTTTTTTGCTTAATTGCAAGTTTGGTCACTCGAATTGCTACAAAATTTTATGTTTGGTCACTCGAATTGATTAATTCCATTTGTAGTCACTTAAATTAGTTTAACAATCCAACTTTGGTCACTCTCCGTTAACCTCCGTCAAACTCCGTTAGTACCGTCAGTTAACTGCTGACGTGGCTAACTGAGGTGCTTAGTCATCCTATTTTAACCAAAAAAAAAAACATGCCACATCATTTACCCCTCCATATTTTAAAAGTCCACCCAAACCCAATCAACCCCTGAACCGACCCATTCAGCTGTTCCCCCTCTCCTTCCCCCCTCTTCTTCCCCAGCTCCGACCTCATTCAATCTCCCAAACCCTATTATTGACGACGGCGCCTTGGTGATTAGAGACCAAATTAAGAATGCTCACCGTCCTGAACACATCGAAATTCACCATCCCGTCGGCATCGACTCTCCGGATCATCTCCTTGCAGGCTTCCATCCGCTTCCCTTCCTTCATCCCAGCGACGACAGCACTGACCCCAGCTCCTCCACCGTGATCATCCCATCCTGATCCCTGTCGAACACCTCGAACGCATCTCTCAATTCATCTCCTCCGACGCCGCCGCTGTCAATTTTGATTTCCTCTGCCTCCATATCTGACGCCCTCGCCTCTCCCTCCCCGCCAGCGGCCATGTTTCTACACAGGATTTTGAACTCCTCGAAGTCAATCAGCCCTTTGGGATTGCAAAATGGACGATGGAGTTGGTTGATTGGGTTGACCAGAGTTGACTGGGTCGATCAGAATTGACTGGGTTGACCAGTGTTGACTTTGGTTGATTGGGTTGGTTGGCCCGATCGGACTGGCCCGAAAATCATGGGTCTGAATTGGGTTTTAAATGTGGGCTGCTGGTTTGGGCCCTATTATTTTTTTTTTTTTCAGGTCATGGGTGTGTTTCTGGCCCAAATTGATGATCTATGGAGTCCCAAAAAGCCTCATTAGGCCTCCAATTATGATTGGTGTCAAATATTGAAGAAGTCTTCTCTTTTTTATATACTTAATTTTTTTATTTGTTCATCTAAATGTAATAATTATTAAGTGTATATTTGGACTTTGGAATTAGGCATGTAATTATTTTTTGACTTATCATTAGAAAGTTGATATAATTATTGAAATGCATGGCTCCAAACATTTCAATGATTCTCTCCAACCCAATTCGCTTGTTTTCCCCAATCGTAACCCAAATCCCGACTTCTAAGTAAATAGTTGGTAACTATGAATTTCTACCAATATTAGTAAGATTACCAGTGTCCTCCTATCCCATTCGACCAATTTCAAACCTATGTCACCAATCGTTAACCGCATACAATTATATTAGTATAGTTCGGGATGGCATACTATTGCTATTCTAAATAAAGCGAATTTGGTAGTCATTAGCTACTGCTAATCCTACCTAGTACAAATATTCAAACTAAATAAAAAGCGGATTTGGAAATCGTTGGTACTTTCTGATACGCCACTGCTAATCTCAACCAACCTCGTCCAAACTTTCACTTGAGTTTTCTTTTTATGTTGGATATTCTTCTGAGTTTTGAGTAGGATGGTTGCTCCGGACAAAATGTGGTGTCTACACATGCTACGCGATATATCTGGATTTATTTTCTGTTTCAGAAGTCAGAACTAATAATTTATGCACATGAATTTATCCTGATGATCCAGACTCAGTTTAAAACCACTGTGAAGGTCATTAGATCTGATCCTGGAGAGGAATTCAGCACGAATAAACTACTAGATCGTTATATAAGTCACAGGGTATTATGTCTCAACAGTCATGTCCGGGAGTCTAACAGCATAATGGGCTGGTGGAACGCAAGCACAGACACGTCCTTGAGTTAACTCGAGCCTTGTTGTTTCACTCGCATGTTCCTCGCAGTTTTTGG